CTGCAGCAAGCAGTTCATTTTCATCTAGTGTGTGTTTGGCTATGTTCCAGCTCTGTGATTCAAAAAACTGTCAAAATTTGCCTGGAAGCTTCATCCTGCCCTTTGGGAGCTAATCGGTGCTTAATTGAGTGTTTTTGAAACTTGAAAAAAAGTTACAGCTCATAATAAGAGCCATATGTCAGTAACACACATTTAAAATAACACACACATCTGCAAATAATATATACTCTTGTTATTTAGATCTGCTCTAATGTTTTGTTTTTTAAAAGTATGTAACAAACTACCAAATATTCTATACATATTTTTTTTTCACCCATCCCTCCACCAGTGCACATTCCCCACCACCAATATCCTCGGTATACCCCCTCTCTGCCCTCCCCCTTCCTTCATGCCAGACATTATTCCCTGTAATCTCTCTCTACTTTTGGGCATTATGATTTGCAATACAGACACTAAGAGGTCATCATGTTTTGTCCTTTATCTAGTTTATCTCCCATCCCGACAGATTCCTCCAGCCATCATTTTCTTAGTGATCCCTTCTCTATTCTATTTGCCTTCTCCCCTTTGCTCATGAGGCAGGCTTCCAGCTATGGAGCAATCCACCTGTCCAATGTATCTACTATCCTTAAGTAACAGCCTCACATTATGTTGTTATATACTCTACAAATGAATGCAGTCCTTCTATGTCTGTCCCTCTCTTTCTGACTCATTTCACTTAGTATGATACTCTTCATTTCTATCCATACATATTTTAATCTCTCAAACAATTCAATTAAGAATCTTGTAAAAATTGAAGAGGTTTTTGGTTAACAAGGAACTGTGTACCATACCTGGGAACTCCTTTGCAAGTTTGCTCCCACTCACTCTTTAGACAAAAGAATTTAGATAAAAGGGCAAAAAGACAAGAGCTAAGAGAATATTTGCAAAGCTAGACAGTAATGGGCAATTGATAATGAATTTAGTCCAGACATTTCCCTGGAGAAAGCACAGAAGCTGAATGTTCCCTAACAGAAACTCAGAAAGGTTTTGCAAAGGAAGTCCAAGTAGTCCCTGAAAAAAATGCTGAAATCCAGCTAAGACCCCTTTAATCTTAAACAGCCTGAACTCAGAAGCTGCATATTTGCCAACAGTGGAACTTCCGTACCAAGAAACTTTCAACCCCTTGAGAGAGGTCTGTCCCAGAGCACCTCCATTTCCAGCTCCAGATCACATTCCAACATCTCCTTCTGCAGACCTTCCCCTAAACTCTCTTTCTTTGTAGCTTCTGGGGTGCTGTATCTCAGCATCATGGCCTCCATACATCTTGGCTACAAGTTCCTGCACTTCACTTTATCGGCAACTCCCTTATCCATTGTCTGTTTCTCAAAAATATGTATGAAGCTTCCTTCACATACAAAGTTTCCCTTCCTTCCTTCCTTCCTTCCTTCCTTCCTTCCTTCCTTCCTTCCTTCCTTCCTTCCTCCTTCCTTCCTTCCTTCCTTCCTTCCTTCCTTCCTTCCTTCCTTCCTTCCTTCCTTCCTCTTTTCTATTATTATTATTAGATGGTTCCCAAAGAGATTACATTTGAACATGTGCTCATATTGAACAGTAATAGTCAGATATTATTGTTGGATAATATCTTTGCAGATGAATATAGATAACACATATACAAATTCAAAGGCATAGTGATAACCGGACCCAGAATCTTCTGCCCCTGAACCAGGCTGTTTTCATTGGGGCCTCTCGGAGGTGGGGCGGGTTGAGTTTCTCTCTTCACCATAAGCAGAACCCTGAAAGAAAACCTCCAGAACTCAGCCACAGCACTGCTCAAGGCCACTCTCCAACGTTTGCACAAGCCGCATGCATGAAGAAACCGGCAGAGGAATCCAGGTATGCAGGATCCGGGGCTGAGATCTCCAAGTCTGCTAGGATCAGGACTGAGCCTCCTCCACCCAGATCCCCCATTTTCCAGTAGCTTGGTAGTCACACCCACAAACTGCCCCTGGCGCCATGTAATCCCACCAATGGCCAAGATCCAGAGACTATAAAACATAGCTCCTGGAAGCTCGTGGCCACGAATAGGCCACTCATGTACCGAAAGCAGTACACATGTGTTTGGTTTTAACATACTTACTTACATTCTCTTATATGCATTATCCATCCCTCTCAGAGAGCCGGGAAAGCTACCAAGAGTATCTCACCCACACGGCAGAGCCCAGCAAATTCCCCATGGCGTATTTGATATGCCAAAAACAGTAAGGATCTCATTCTCTTGACCCTGAAAGAGCATCCAATACGGCGCCGTTGGGAAAGATGAGTAAGGAGAAGCTGCTAAAATCTCAGGGCTGGGATGAATGGAGACATTACTGGTCCCCGCTCGAGCAAATCAGTGAACAACAGGATGACAGTGATACAGTGATACAGTGATAATCCACCACATTCTGAAAAATAGAAAAGCAAAATTCTGGTGAAGCTCTTGGCTTCATTTGAAGACATATCACAGTAATGTCTTCCTCTTTTTCAGAGAGATACTCAACCATTCCCCAAGTCTGCTTGTCTGGTGCAGTTGTGCTTTTATTTATTAAGATGACTTGGGACTGGATGAGATGGTACAGGGATAAGGCATATACATTGCATGTGACTGACAATGGTTTGTTTCTCAGCACACATGGTCCCACAGGACCTCCAGGGGCAGCCCTGGAGGCCCTGAAGTACTGTGAGGATGGCCCAGGTAATTCAAATCATGCTTCATCCTCAGCTTTCTCATTGAACCACTGACCTAGTTGGCCAAAATTGCTAGGTGGGGTCTGGGCCTCTTTAGCACTGCTTGGCAGATACAATAAAATTAAAAATAGAATAAAAGACTCTCACATTGATATGTTCATTGTTGTTAACCTGGATGTTTTATGAATACTGAATCATTGTTTGATATCTTGAAATTTGTGTGTTTTTATTTGACATTTTGTTATTTGACAACATTTTTATTGTTGATGTGGATAACCGTATTTATTTTCCATTGTTTTGTATTATGGCTAAACTGCTGTTTACCTGTTTCCTTCATGGGAGTGGTTCTCCCAAATGATTACTGAGTTTCAATATTTTTTTTTCCTTTTAATCCATGGACAATGTTTCTATGGCCATTCTTCAGTTTCCCAAATATTGTCTGTTAATATGCACTTTCTATATTCTTGATGAAACTTTATATGATTAGACTTTAATTTTTCTCCCTATTTTCCTGGTTATAAAATGTTTTCCATTGGGGCATTGATTTTTTAACTTTTATATTCACAGACAAGTGCCTAGATCATAAGTATCCAACTAGATAACTTTTCATAAAATGAATGAAAGAGTATTATAAGCACCTCAGTTATCTCCCTTATTTCCTTTTAATTAATCTCTTCCCTAAAATCAACCATCTCAGTTTCTAATAGAAGAAATTAATTTATTTGTGTTTGACTTCCTTGTTAAGAGTCTAGAGATTAGCCTTGAAACTGATGAAGTGTTTTTTGGTTTTTGTTTGTTTGTTTGGTTTTGTTTTTGTTTTGGGGCCATACTTGGTGGTGCACAGGGCTTACTCCTGGCTCAGGGATGACTCCTGATGGGCTCAGAAGACCACCATATAAAGTCTGGGGGAATTGAACGTGGGAAAGTCACATGCAAGACAAGTGCCTTACGTGCTGTACTACCTCTCTGGCCCCTGCTGAAGTAATTTGTGTAGGGACCAGTGTTTTGTTGGGAATGGGAGAAGGTTGATGAGTACATGAGATAGATGGTAATGCCAACCCATCCTTAAGAAATGTTTTCACTTCTTCTGTCTTTCGCTCTGTTTTCTCCCAGAAGTTTCAAACTTCTGACTAAGTGTGCCTTCCCAATAGCTAATTTTACTTAGAACTTGACAGTGAAAAGTGTCTGCTATGGATTGGGGAATGTAGATTAAGGAAAGATAACGAAATTCAGTTTAAAAACCCCATAGGAACGGTCCAAGATGTAGTTAACATTGCTAAAGAGGTTTGGAATGAATTCTTCAAGCATCAAGAAGCTGAGAAACTCTTTATTGAAGTCAGCGGCTTGATGGCTGCAGTCAACCCAATGAAGAACTCAGCAAATACTACAAATGGGGCTGCATACACCTCAATGAATGTCAGGGACTGATAGGCTATTGATGGTGATATAAAAAGGTATTATAAAGTGGCATAATGTGCCAGTTGGAGCATGAAGATGGTTTTCTGCATAACGGAGACAGAAGAATCACCTAGGAACGACTGGGGAGGTAGGAGATGTCAGAATTGTTCTGAAGTCCGTGAACATCGTTATGTCTCCATAAGAGAAAATCAAAGCATTTATATTGTGGGGAATGAGAGTGCATTAAGTAAAAGGAAAATACAGAAGGGAAATGCTTTCTTTTTATTCTCAACTTAGCCACTTTGCTAAATTTCAAAAATGGTTTAGGTAATGTGGTTACAATAGCATTCACATTTATGGTATTGATGTATACAGTTACTACACACCATAACCACCAAAAATACCCTTGACCCTTCATATCTCACCTCTAATCTGTTCTTTATTTTCCTTCTCCCTCCCCTCACTGCTTGGTTATCTGAGTTTTGCAATCCAAGGCCAAGGATTTGTCTTAGTTGCATATTGTGTATTGCCTTATTTTATCTTTCTGTTATACAGATAAGTGAGATCATTTGATATTTGTCCTTTCTCCCTCTGACTTATTACACTTAACATGATGTCTTTCCATCACATTTCAGTGAATTTCAGATTTTCTTGTAGTGCATAGTAAGTAGGAATATTTCCTTTTTATTAAAGTATATTGGTTTACAAAAGTATAAGTGTATGGTTTATAGTTGCAATGTTTACACATCATGTTCACCAAACAAGTGCTGTTCTCCTACCACTGTGAAGCATATTTATTTTTAAATACTGATTCTTAGTTCTCTTTATTGTGGTGGTGAACATGTGTCAACTTGGAGGATATTTTGGGATGATTTTAATATCTAAATCTGTTAACTGTGGAACTGCTGGTGCTACCACACCTGTGTTCTTTATACTCAATGCATAGAAAGAGGAGGCATACAAAACCCATTTCATATATATCTCAGTCCCAAACCTTTGCCTAGTCTGCATTGTGAATAGAGGGATATGGAAAAAAAGTTAATTGCCCTCTGTGATATGAGTAAGCCTCATAAAATCAGTTAAATATCTAAATATAATAAAAAAAGACTAGTAACTATAAGGAAGAACAAATTCTCCAGCAGACTTTGTTGGATATCATCTATTCCACTGGCTTTCTTGGGTCTCAACCCTGCCAGATCACACTACAGATTTTGGACTAACTAGTCTCCGTAATTTCGGATTCAAATCCTCAAAATAAATCTCTTTCTATACACACACACACACACACACACACACACACACACACCTCTTGGTCTGGTTCCTCTGAAGAACCCTGATAATTAATTGCCTTCATATTTTGGGTATAGAATTTCTTATAGAGCAAATAATTGAAGACACTGAGAATGCAGGATAGTGTTTATCAGGTCTCAGTTTTCCTAGGGCAGAGGTAAACATTTTAGAAAAAAGCAACCATGAGACACCAATTAAGTCTTTGAAAGAAGACACTGTATGGAACCTGGAACATCTGTATGATGTAAAGTCTCATGATATTAAACTAAATTACTATCCTTCACAGTAGAAATTACAAACCCGAGGGAAGAGTGGAAAAATTCCTAAGACTATGCAGTCTAGATAGATGCTGTCTTTCTTGTGCTTTGGGCCACCTGGGGTCACCTCTGGCAAATGCCAGACTGACACCTCCCCTCACAGCACAGGACTGCAGTTTAGCAAGAAACAGGTCTAACTAGCTCTTCAAAACCATTTTATGGCTCATCTTCTTTACAAAACATTCAGATGTGTTCATCTCTGTGGACTATTGGAAGAGAACATTCATCACACTTTCCTAAACATAATGTGGCTTGCAGGCTTAGCATCTCAGATAGAGCATCAGCTCCCAGCATTCAGACCTGACAGCTACAGTCAGCTACTGTCCCTGTTCTCTGTTCGTCTGCACCAAGCTCATTACTATCATCTTCTGTTCCCATCAGAAATCAGCTCTTTGAGAAATGAGACTCGCCACAGTCGCCTTTTGTTCCACTGGTGATTATATAGCTTGTCTTTTAGAGTGCCAAAAGAATAACCCAAATATTTTCTGTATAGTCTGTCAGAGTCTCTGACATTTCTACCATTAGTGAACACTTTTCACAGACAGCAGGAAAAATATCCTAGCCTATATTCTTCAAGTATATTCTAACCAAATGATGATGAATTAGGGATAATATTTGATTATATTTGCTTAATTTCTCCTAGGGCTCATTCAGTGAAGAAAGAAACTTATTATTTGGATCAATTGTTGTGCTCTGTTTTTGTTAAAAACAAGTTTATTAATGCAAAAGCAATCTGGGTGAAATATGCAGATGTCCTTTGTATTAACAAGTTATATAAGATTCACATTCTTATAATTCTTAGACATTTTATGAATAATTCTTGTTACCCTATGCAAGAGTATATAGTAGTACCTTCAACAATGCTATATTAAAATTCTCCACTGGTATAATATAATTCATATGTCTCAATGGGATTAAGCAAATGCTTTCAGAAGTCTCATATGAGCATCTGATGTGCATATGCAACCTCTCATCTTAGTGTCAGTGCAGTGACTTTGTGGTTGAGCCATTAATCATCAGCAGGGCTAAAATAGTGTAGAGAAATTTTGAGATGCAAAAAAATGAATAACCATGTCATTATCAGGTGCTAAAGTCTTTGAAAAGTAAGTAGATTTAACAGGGTCCATCGAAAAGCAACCAGGAATCTGAGTCATTGAGATCCAATAAGGGTAAACTTTGCTAAGAAAAAATGAATGGAGATAAAAGTTTAGTGTTCTTGCAGGGACACAGAGTAACAGGAATACTGTGCCAAGGATAATGGAAATGAAGAAACTGGGTTGGTTGTGAACTAGGAGGAGGGAAAGTGACCTTCCATACTAACTGAAATCATGAGCATCCTGAAAGCAACAACAGTGACTGCTTTGCAACTAAGAACTGGGTTCTTAAAATCCTCTTGTTATGTTGGTAGGATTGGTGCTGAATATTGTATGTCCAAAACTCAACTATGAACAATGTGGTAAATCATGGTGCTTTAATAACATTATTAAAAATCCACTTGAGATAGGATTTATATTGGGTTAAGTTTTATGATTTTTTAAAAAACTCTTGATTCAGTTGCAAATTATTGGAGAGCATAGGGGAATACTGAAGGATGCTTAACCTGAATGAGATGCAGAAGAAGGAAAATATCTGTTGCTTTGTAAATGCTAATGGGAAAAAATCTTTTATATTGGTCTGGTACTTTTGGTTTTGAAATGGTTGTTTTGGATAAAAAGCAATCTCAAATGCCCCGCCCTTTATGAATGTTTCTAGGATTATTGACTACTCAAAATTATTTAAAAAGTTTTCTTTAGATTAAAATGATTAAACATAAAAAATCCTCTTGATATCTGGTAGGGAGTGGAACATCAAGAAAAGTCTATATAGGGAGCCGGAGTGATCGTACACCAGGTTGGGAGCTTGACTTTTACATGGCTGACCAGGGTTTGATCCTTGGCATCCCATATAGTACACGAAACCTCACTAGGAGTGATCTTTGAACTCAGAACCAGTATTAAGCCTATGTCCAGAAAGGGTCTATATAGGATGCAGATACAGAGGGAAAAATATTGTAAATGTTGCCCAAAAGATTTTAATCAGAGGTTTCTGAGACACAGTAGTAGTTTATAAAAAATAAAGAAGAATGGAAAGAGACACATGATAATACCTATGGTTAGACAGTTAAGGGTATTTTAAAGAGAGAGACAGAAAGAGAGATAGAGAAATAGATAGAGAGACAGACAGAGACAGAGAGAATGAAATATCACTGTAGACTTAAAAAGGTCAGATAAAAATGGCAACAGCTCAGAAACTTTTCAGGTATATACACAAACTAAAAGCCTTAGAAAAAAATACACTTTTATCTAAAGGGAGACTAGAATTGACATGATTGATGATCATTTGACTGAACGGAAACTACTGCAGGGTGTTTGGGAGCATATTACTTCAGCAAGAAAATGCACACTGATCTAGCTGGTATTTTCTAATTCTAACCTACCTGGTTCAATGGTAAGAGAACTCCTCATAGAAAACATAACACTGGCTGAGAGTGCATTTCAAAAACATTTTGTTTTCTGATTTTATATAAGTTCTTAGTGAATTTTCCCAACCTATAATGTGAAGAATAAGATATATAGGAATAAGATATTTTAATCTGCTGCATTAGTGATGATTTAACAGATTTATTCACCTCATATTTGGCACATGTATTTCTTTGATTTATTAATGCTAGAAAACTTCAGCTTAGTTCAGTTAAATAATCATTAAGTGCAGCAGATCAAAGTAGGTTATTTCCTTATTGTTTAATCTTTAAGTCAAGACATAGGGGAAATTGAGAGTTGAAATTGTAAATGTAGTAATTACAGCCACTCAGTTGCAAGTGGCTTACCCTTATCCTTAGTTACGTAATTACCTTTTATAGAATATTCCTTCTAGGAAAACTCAAAGAGATGAGAGAGTCAAAGCATGGAATTAGTTGGATTGGCCATTCATACAAGCTCTAACCAAGAGATATGAGAAAGGTTAATATCTGAAACAGATTAATTTTAATCTATCACTGCCATATCATAAATGTGTCCATCAAAAATTGGCTAACCAGTTTAGGGTAGTCAGAAAATAGTTTGTATTTAGGATCATAGAGAATCTAGAAGCAGAAAGTCTTTAGAGTTCTAAATTAGCAAGGATTTGGGAGGTTGGTTTGACATATCCACCTGGCTCTAGAAAGACAAAGCATTGATAGCTATTTTCAGAAGAGGAGTAAGCTAAGGCCTGAGAGCCCCAGCTAGTAAATGGTTACAGCAGGATTAGATACTACATTCCCACATTTAAGATATGTCCTAGAGTTAGTTAAAAAAATTACATTTATTTTTATGATTGCCAAGGACTGTTCTCATATTTTGTAACATAAAAATTTCACAAAATTTATTATCTCTACTTGTGATAATTATCTTTAGTTTCTTAAACGTTTCCAACATTTTCTTTTTAAAAATTCTCTTTATATTTAAAATAGAATCAAAGTCGTGAGAGACACAATCACAAAATTGTTCATGATTGGGTTTCAGCCATATAGTGTTTCAAATGATAAATTTAAAAGATAAGTTTGGTAAAAGTAGGACAGTTGCAGTTGTCAAAATAGGGTAACTTTTGGGGGGAAAGGGAAGGGGTCACACCTGGTAATACTCAGGTTTTACTCCTGGCTCTGTACTCAGGAATTACTGCTGGCCATGCTCCGGGACCCATTTAAGATGCTGGGGATGAAACCAGGATGCTTGCAAGGTCAGTGCCTAAACTGCTGTATTCTCTCTCCACCCTCACTTTTTTTTAAAGTTGACTCTGAGATCACACCTGGCTATGCTAGGAGTTACTCTTGGCTCTGAACTCAGGGGTAACTTTTGACGAGCTTGGCGGGGCTCATATAGGATGCTTGGGATCAAACCTGGGTCAGCTGTGTGCAAGGCAAGCACCTTACCTGCTGTACTGTCTCTCTTGCTCCAAATGGCAACTTTTAAAATAAATGCTATTTGGAGAGGGGAAAGGAATATGAGGGGGATGTTATTTCTCTTTTCTTTGATAATATCTTGTTTCACTAGGGTCCTTTATATTCAGCAACTCACTTTCGAAGCCTGTAAGGGTTCTTCTATAATAAGCTATCCATGGTCATGTCTATGGACCTGGACTCTTTTCACTTTCAAAATAGAAATATCAAAATCCCACCTCTGCAATTGCCAGTGCTCTGCTCTAGCAGAGGGTAGAACTCTGGGTGTGTCTTCATTGGTGTCACCTATGCTTCATACCAGATGTCATTCTAACTCACTGCATTGACTTCTAGATCCTGCAGTCTTTCTGATCTTAGATAAGTGAGGGGATTCAGAGCAAATTTTGTGGATCTTTGAGATTGAATTTCTCATTTAATGTGAAAATCTAAAACATTTCTAATATTTTCATC